ACTTGAGTTTCCTATTCTTGCATTATTGGGCTGTCACTTCCTGGTATAACTCATTCCAATACCATTACATATAAGTAAAGGCTGTTATTCCTGTATTTAAAATGATACAAACCCAGGACCCTGCCTTCACTATATCTGGTCTCCCACAGTACACACAACATGGAAATGCAATTATTTTAGTACATATCAACTGCTAAATACCTTGCCGTTAGAGCAGTTTTGTGACTTCTATCAGTGTCCAGCTGAGCACTGGTGAATCTTGTAAAAGGAGGTTTCATTCTCCTCTGACTGTCCTATGAAGCTGCATAACCTCTGACCCTCTGCCTGGACATCGCTGATTGGCCCTGTGCTGATCACATGCACCCTCTCTAGCAATACACATCAAACAGAGCATGTGCACAGTGACTCCTACAGCTCTCTATTATCGGCATATCGGCAGATGGATTGGGGACTGTAAAAGGAGAGGGTCAGAGAAGACCAGCATTTCTATACAATACAGAGGATTAACCCCTTAAGTTCCAAAGTGAGTATAACAAGCATGCTTTACTACATATGCAGACTGATTTTACTGTTGTGGGTTTACGAACACTTTAACCTTGATATAATATGGAGTGCACTGCATGAGCTGATTATAGCACAGGTGACCAGATTTTCAAACACAGTCAAATGAACTAGCAGTGCTCATAGGCAATTCATCAGGAGTAAATCATGTTAGCTGTCAATGTCCATTTGTTTTTGAGGATGAAATCCCTTGGGTTAACATCTTTGTCCTTGCATTACCACTTAAAGAGACAGGGTCACTTTCATTATTCAGTGCAAAGTGGCAGGGTGTATTTAAAGTACCCACCTCCAGTTATACTCAGTTTATCAGCTACCCCACACTGCTCCGTCTTCGCTGCAGCCAGCAATGGAACCCACTGTGCCCTCTGTGACAGAGACTAGGGGAAGCAGTGACACCTCCTCCATCATGTGATTGTGCTTAGCCTAGTTTTGGCTTTTAGACCTCCGCCATACCAGGAAGCACTGGGTCTTCTTTCTGGCTGCAGCGGAGACAAAAACTAAACAGGATCACTGGTAATGTGAGTATAACTTGGAAACCTGACTTTCCTTGAGCGGTGATTGCAAGTGTGGGAAATCGCAGTGGTTCCTGCCACCACCTGCAGCCAAATTGCACTGCTCTGTAGAGGTGTGCGAGACACACATCTCAATCTCCAGCGGGTTTGTGGGTACAGGAATTGCATGGAAATTATGCGATTTCCCTGTGACTGCATTTTGAAAAAGGTGCATGCCCTTTTTTCTGCGGGAAACGCAGGCACAGCAGTCTATTCAAATGAATGGGCTCCTGTGCCCACACAAACAGTGGGTGCAAATCTGCTATGGTGTGAACCTAAGCTTAAAGTGTACCTGTGAGCCGAGAAAAATTGTTTTACATGGTCAGCCACTGGCCTGGCACAGACATGCAGCCAGTGAAGCCTGAAAGGTCTTAGCCCCCTTTACGCTTGTTCCACTTTGGTAATTTACTAAGTAGTGAAGCCAGGATTAGGATAATTGCCCCGAATCTTGAATTTTAAAGGAAAAGTAAAGGCAAAACATTTTTTCATTTTGTATAAAAAGGGAGGCTTATAACCCCTATCAGTTTTCTTTTTTTGTCCATCTGTCTCCCACTGGGGAGATTTTCCGGCACTTCCTGCAAAACAAAATCAGGAAGAGAAAGGAAATGAGGGTATTGATAGTTGTCACCAGGATCACTCAAACTAGTGTCCTCACTGGAAGATTTCCACAACAACAACCCAAAATTTGAGATTTTTATTTCACTTTCAGTGATTGCAATGATCAAGACCAATAGAGAAGGTAAATCTCCCTAACTGGGGCAAACACAGCAATAAAAAGCTGACAGGTATTTAAATCCCTCTCCACTTTACCCAAAATAAAAAATAAAAGTATTGCCTTTAGTTATACTTTAAAAACAAATCAGAAAATGCATCTCACGGTTTAAATTGGCGCAGCTTAAAAAAAAAACATTTTTTTTTGTAAAGAAAACATTTGTTTACTGGGGGTGGTTTAAACTGGCCACACATTTGAATGCATAATGTCTCATAATAGGTGAAGCTAAACTCCACAATATTAACCTATCCTTCAATAGTCTGCTAGCCTTGTTAACCCTGCCCTCTTCTACCTGGCCTCTTCCAGCTGTGGCCGTCTTCATTGGCCAGCGAAGGATGACGGCACACAGGAGTCATCCCGACACAAGTGCTGTGCAAGAATGTAAATTGCAGCTTGGTGTACATTTCAATGCAGACTGTGAGCAGGCACGTAGGTGTCCTATATTGCTGAAGAAATATTCTGCAATAAAGGGCTTGCCTGCTTGCAGTTTTTGAAAGTGGGACTTTAGTTCCACTTTAAGCCCCCATTCACATCTTGAGATTTGTTGTGCATTGCTCACAGCAGGACACTGGTCAACATGAAGATTCTCATTAGTATTCAAAGGCACCCTTGATATTTCCCATTCATTTCTCACCTATTCATTAACACATGTTTTGCTGCTGCTTTGTTGTCACGCTGAAAATGAAATAAGATTTTCTTCAGGCATAAATCATACAAGCATGTTTTGCCCAAGACTGTCAATATAGAATACTTGAAAGACGTGTGCAACACACTAAATGGACAACATTTCAGGAACGATAACTTCTGAGGATCTTTGAGAACCAAAATTGCAAAAAAATATCAACTAACAAGGTTACAAGTCCATCTCCAGAGAACAGATTTGCCTTTGTCCCAGTGCGCAACATTATCAAGAATTTCCATGGCACTGTAGAACCTCCCTGGTCGTGGACGGAATGAGGGAACAAAATGGAGGATTCAGGAGTTAAATACTTTCATTTTTGCCTATGGTGAGGGTTCACAAAATCTTTAAAACCCCCACGTCTTGTGGACAGATGAGCCCAATACAAGAACTGACGGTAAGTGGCTACAAAGAACAAAAAGAGTACCTACGGTGTGGAGGTTCAATGATGTTTTGGGGTTGTTTTGCTGCCTCTGGCACTGGGTGCCTTGACTGTGTGTGCAAGGCATCATGAAATCTGAGGATTACCAAAGGATTTTGGGTCGCACTGTAGGGCCCAGTGTCAAAATGGGTTTGCGTCATCCTGGGTCTTCTACAATGACCCCAAACAAAAATACCTGAAGCTTAAAAACACGTGAATTTTTTTAAATTGCTGAAATTTTCCTGATGGCAGCTAGTACCAGTGATGGTTATAGGAAGCGACTGATTTATGGTGCAACCAAATATTAAGTTAAGGGTGCCAATACTTTTGTCCAGCCCAACGGACATTATGTCATATTTGCTTTCACCCTCTGTTTTTTATATTGTTCCCAATACATGGAATAAACATGTGTATAGCAAAACATGTGTTAATGCAATACCTTTTTTGTGTGAAATACTTGATTTTCAGGAAAAATATCAAGGGTGCCAACAATTTCGGCCATCTGTATATTCAAAGGTGCCCTTCATACCTTCATATGCTGCTGCTTGTCACCAGAAATAAGATTTTCTTCAGGCATAATCCATCCCACTTCTGAATACTGAAAGTGTGCAACACAAACTGTGTATATTTTACACATCCTCCCCATTTCCATTTCTAGGAATCCTGCGCTGTGATCAAAATGGAGGATTCATTAAATACTTTCATTTGCCTGGTAGGGTTCAAAAATCTTTAAAACCCCCATGATGCCCTACAAGAACTGAGGTAAGTGGCAGAGAGCCTTGTAAGATATTGGTGTAGTGAACATGTAGCATGTCATAGATGTTTTCACTTTCTATTGACCAAACCTGAAGCTTAAAAAACACGTGAATTTTTTTAAAGAAATTTTCCTGATGGCAGCTAGTACAGTGTCATATGGTACCAGAACGGTGTCATCCACCCCCTCTTTCACCACTCTACCTTATATGCCAGTTCCATCCCATCTCTGATCTAATCTGTGTATTAACTCCTCCCCTTTTTCATCCTGCGCATCTGCTCATTAACCACTTATTCTCCATCCTCCCACTGTATGTGACCTGTATATTTACCTCCTCACCTCTTGATTTCTCTGTGTATGACCTATACATTTAATGCATCTAGTTCACCTTTACTAAGCTCTCTATTCTAACTCCCTCAATGTTGACATGTTTTGTAGTTCCAAAAAACAGTGGCAGAAAATTAGATTATCTTTGAGTGTATATTTTCCAAAAATAGCTAATTTGGAGGTGTTTGTACCATCCAAGCATTTATATTTGATAACGTTTATAACAGAAAGTACTATTTTTTTAAATTTATATAGTAAAAAAAATAATTAAAAACAGTAATTACTAAATACACCAAAATAAAGCTCTATCTGTCTCTGCATTTTGGTATAGTGTTACATGAGTAATTGTTAGTCAAACTATCACAATGCTAAAACCTAAAAAAAGGGCCTGGACTGATTAAGGTGAGTGTAAGCTAATTTTTTTAAATAACAAACAGGTTTATATTTACCTTCTCTGTGCAATGGAGCTGCACAGAGCAGCCCCAATCCTCCTGGCTCCTCCTCTTCTCAGTGTGCCACCATAGGAAGCTGTTTCCTATTGTGGCACACCTGCGGTCTCAATCCTGAGGCTGTATCCATAGACACAGACAGTGCAGCTGGATTTCCACACCCTCTCCCTCTCCCCCCCCACCCCCCCAGTCACAGGATTTGAGTGACATGAGCCCACATGCTGCTGCAGCAAAGCCTGTGATTTGGGTGAGAGTAACTACAGATAGGCACAACATTGGATCAAATGAGGACTCAGGTAAGTATTTGGAGGGTGAGGTGGCGATACTTTTACCTAAACATATTTTACCTTAATGCAAGGAATGCATTTATTTAACTGCCTCCCGCCCGCCATATAGTAATATGACGAACGCAAGGTGGTTCTCTTGTTCTGGGAGGATGTCATATGACGTCCTCCCATTCTAACCGCTCCCTCGGACACAGCGGATCACCGATCCACGGAAAGAGTCGAAGATGTCGGCTCGATCATGTGATCAGCTGTGTCCAATCACAGCTGATCACATGTTAATAGGGAAATGCCGGTTATCGGCATTTCTCTCCTCTCGAGCTGTCACGCTGACAGCTCGAGAGGAGAGGAGAGCCGGTAATCGGCATTCCTCGGAGGGGACATGTGCACTGATGATCAGTGTGCCCTGATGATCAGTGTAGCCCCAGCAGTGCCACCTGTCAGTGTCCATCAGTGCCAGCTGTCAGTGCTCATCAGTGCCACGTGCCCATCAGTGAAACATCAATGCCACATATCAGTGCCTACCAGTGCACATCAATGCCACATATCAGTGCCCATCTGAGCTGCCTTTCAGTGTCACCCATCAGTGCCAGTCAGTGCCACCTATCAATGCCAATCAGTGCCACCTATCGGTGCTGCCAATCAGTGCTGCCTATCAGTGCCAGTCAGTGCAGCCTATCAGTGCGCATCAGTGCCACCTATCAGTGCGCATCAGTGCCACCTATCAGTGCGCATCAGTGCCACATATCAGTGCCAGTCAGTGCCGCCTATCAGTGCCATATATCAGTGCTGCCTGTCAATGCCATCAGTGCCACCTACCAGTGCCTCCCTCATCAGTGCCACCTATCAGTGTCCATCACTGCAGCCTCATTAGCGCACATCAGGGAAGGAGAAAAATCACTTATTTACAAAATTTTATAACAAAAATTAAGTAAAAACTTTTTTTTTTTTCAAAATTTTCAGTGGTTTTTGGTTTGTTTAAGAAAAAATAAAAAAGGTGATTAAATACCACCAAAATAAAGCTCTGTCACAAAAAATGCTAACAATTTCATATGGGTACAGTGTTGCATGACCGTGCAATTGTCATTCAAAGTGCAACAGCGCTGAAAGCTGGAAATTGGCCTGGGCAGGAAGGGGGAATAACTGCCCTGTAGGCTTGTGGTTAAAAAAAGTTTAGGCTTCAGAACCACTTTAAGCAAAATGTGTCCATCTTAAGATACTTGCCTAAAGCGACTCTAGAATTCCAGGTTCAGCTTGGGCCAATGTAAGTATGTACTGTATATACTATACCTGGCTGCTGACCCTGGAAGCTGGAACTCACCAATTCCATTGCTTTCCACTAGCTTCTGAGTCCCAGCTTGCCTGATGCATTCTCAGCCGCTCAGCAAGGGCTCCACTCAGGAAATGCTTTGCAAAGCATTTTCTGATTTGACGCGGTGAAGAGCATGATGTCACTGCCTCACCTCTCTGCCTTGCCCAATAAGACAACGCTTTGCATTAAATCAGAAAAAGCAAAGCATTCTCTGAATGTCTCCTATGCCGAGTAGCCAACTTCCTGTGTTCAGTAAGCAGGAGTGCAGTTGCTCGGCATTGGACATGGAAGCAAGTGGAGATCACAGAAGTAGCGGTTCTATCTAACACTGAATCTTCAGAGCAGGATAAAATATAAAAATTCTGCATTTCTAGACACAAACATTGAAAGTATCCAGTAAAAACCACGTTATGTACTGCTTACTACACATGAGAACAAAGGACACTCTGTAACAAACATCTGCCACATTTGAACAAATAGTAGCTTGTCCTCGGACACTTCTGAAATTCTTTTAGTAAAGGTGCGGAGAGCTTAGCATGGATTCATTTGGCCACCCTAAAAGGACCAGCTAGAAAGGAGTGCAGTTTTCTGCGAGCTTTGGCATGGTGGTTTGGCTTCAGTTGCCATGGTGATCAAGGGAGGCAGGCAGTACAAGCCTTGTTTCCATAGCAATTTCATCTAATTCATAGTCATTGGAGACAACCATCTCAGGAGCAAACCTATACATGTCAATCTGTTATAGACCTAACAAAAAAACATAGGGCTGTGTGTCGCCATACCACATCATGATGCACTGGTATTATTAGAGACTGTATATAGGGCATTCTGTTAAATGATGAATAGAAAGACGCTTTCCAATATATCAGTCCACACTATACTATCTATACACAGCCAGCCACACTTTCTGGTGTGACCTCATATACAGAAGACATGATAGTGTGTAAAATGCTGTCTGTGCAAAACAGCAGGCTCTGGATATGTCTCACATCCTGTCTGCATAACAAGCAGTCCAGCTGCACAGCCCTCCCTCCCCCTACAACTCTTCCTCTGTCCTCCTTTTTTTCACCATCAGCCTCTTTGTGCGATTTCTTTCCACAGCTCTGCATTTTTCTATCCTGCTGTCTGCATATTTTCATCCAAGATCCATGCTAAATAAGATGCAGCCGGCCAGTTATCTTTAGAATGAGGCTGATACTCATATCTGTACACGTGTCGCACTGTGTGACAAGCAGTCAATGCCGTGACTCATGTGTGAAGTGGGGGGACATCCTAGCCGCCTCATGATGACAAAAATGTTTTAAAAATGTCTGGAATAAGACAAGCCAGTGGGCGTACATTAGTCTACTGTTCTGTTTTCTAAAGGCAGATAATGGGGCTTATGTATAGAAACTAGGAGAAATAGATCTTCCATAACAACTAAGATTCTGGCTCTCCAACTGATAGTACAAACCAGGTCTGAAAATACTTCTCTTTTCCCTGGATTTAAGGTTTCTGACCCCATGCAGAAATGTAAAGCTGGCCGTACACCGATAGATTTTTTTTCATTCAGCTTGCAAACTTGACAACAAATATTTATGAAAAAAAATATTTATAACAGATTTCTCCATTTATGCTAACAGCACAGATGGAAGAACTCTCCTGCCAGGTTATTATATGATGACACCCATTTACAAGAGCTGTCAGGATACCTGAACAGGTGGCATCTTAATGAATGCAGCCACTGTTCGGCTGACATATTTCCACCCAGCTTTTTTTGTTTTTTCAATCAAAGGATTTTGAGTGGGAGGAGGCCCACAAGGTCATGCATGAAGTGAATTTTAGCCATTTCATCAAAAATCAGCCAAGCTTTTGCAGTGTAAGGCCAGCCTAAAGCATATATAAGCCAAAGAACAATAGTGTTGCAGCTTATCTGTCTTTAAACGTGGTAGCTGCATTTGTTTTCTTTTTTGTTATTTTAAATGGGCAATCTTGCAATTTACTCACTTCCTGTTCTAGAGTGACAACTGGATTGAGCAGTATTGTCATCACAGTACAGGGAGTGTATTAGGAATACATAAACCCTCCCTCTCTTCTCCCTAACAAAAGGAAGTTCTTTGTGTAATGGTCATCCACACTGAGTCCATGAAAAGATGTATGCGGCAACCATGTTGTTCAGGTTCCAAGTCCATTTTGTCATAAGAGGCATAGCTGCAGTGACCTACCCCTCCCTCCTCCTTAAGTTTATACAATCACAAACTTTAGGCTGCATACCAGAATATTCTTATCAGATCCTTGACAGAACACATGCAGACCATCTCAAGCATATTATCTGAATCCACACTTCAGTCTAGATGCCCTTGTAAAACTCTCAAATTCACAAGCTTGATCAACCCAGAAAAACAGATATTCTGCCAAATCACCCTCATCGTAAATACCTTAGCTGGAGTCTTTAGCAATACACATTTCTGTCTTGGTAGAATCGATAACTTCAGGGTATTTCATAACTCATGAAATAATAACAGTATAGCCAGAAAAAACATATTTACCTTCACAATTAATTAGCAACATTTTAAATCCAAACACCCCTATCTTAGATGATGTGGGGAGCCAACAAGACATATTACCCCTCCTAGGTAGACATCCAAAACCTGTCATGTTTATATCCATTCTAAAGTTAATTGCACACTGGACCATAATATACAAGTTAGCAGACTGTAACATGTAGGTATTCAAAAATATTAACACTTATAGAAAACTGGATCTGTGGCATGATCGTAAACACAGAGATATCCCATGGCCACCCCTCAGCCTCTTGATTGGTCACATCATTTTTGACAACACTCCTCTCATGGACAAGAAAAGGAGGCTGCCCTACAAGTTGACAGCTCTCATTTTAACATCAAACCAAGAAACACCCGTCAAGTCGTATGAGAGCCATTGTACCACATTACCTTATTGATTTTAACTCTGCTGAACAAGAACTTGATAAGTATTTTAATTTTTCAATCATTTTTATTTCACTGTTACCTTGTTGTCTCCTTGTTTCTTCGCAATACATTTTTCTGTAAATATTTTATTTGCACCTTTTTTCACCTTTTCATTATTAAACCATATTTTGAACGGTGTTAAAATTGTCTCTGATGCACTGTGACTAAAGCAGAACGTAAAGAATCCCTGTCTCTTGAAGAGCACTACTGTAAATCTCTGAACATACCTGTCTGTGGTGACAATGTATTTTACAAATGTTTATTCTAAAGTCATAATTGCTATTGGGCTAATTTTGTGGATGGGTGACAGGCTGATCCTATCTGGTAGCATTTTGCAGTTTAAAGAGTTAATTGCTTAGTTGACTAAACTCAGTGACAATCACTCTCAGTCTGTTGGCACCTAGATTGTGGTCCCACAAGCTGGAAAATCTTTGTGCAGAGTGAGGCTGCGAATGTCATTGTTGCGAATCATTGACAGAGCGCTGTGAGGTCGACCAGCCATTTGTCACAAATCAGTGAAGAGGAAATCATGCGTTTGTCACACTTTGCAGTCTACAAAGAGAGCAGAAAACAATGCTAACTCATAACAGTCTAGAGCAGGGGTGGCGAACAAGTTAGACACAAAGAGCCAAAATTTTAAACTGTGAAAGTCAGAGAGCCACACCACGAAGTGACCTGCCAAAACAGACAAACACTCACACAAAAACATATAATTAAAACCATATTATTCACCATAACACTTTCTTCCCCTTACAAAACAACAATGTGTTCATTTCAAGGTAAGTGTCCACCCTCAACACACACATCAAATGCAACTTAGCCAGAGTTAACACATCAACTACCCTGGAGGTTTTTGTTTGATCTTACCTGTTTCTCGATCCAGCCGCGCGCTGTCTTCCCGGCTTCTGTAATGGCGCTCAGCATGACAGCCGGGTGCCCAGTGCGCATGAGCGAAAAGCACTTTGTGATTGGTCCGGCAGCTTTTGGGATCTGTCATGTGTCCCAGGTACTGCCTTACCATTCACAAAAAGCACCGCTTCTTGCGCATGCGCACTTGGCACCTGGCTGTCATGGACAGTGCCCACACTACAGAAGCCGGAAGACAGCGCGCCGCTGGATAGAGGAACAGGTAAGATCAAAGAACAAAGAAGTAAGAGCGGGTACCTGTCAAATTCAGGTACCCGCTCCCCACCTCCCCAAAGAAAGATGAAACTTGGCAAAGAGCCACAGTATACAAAATATGATAAGAGGCAAAGAGCCGCATTCATTTTGGCAGGGAGCCGCACGCGGCTTGTGAGCCGTGTGTTCGCCACCCCTGGTCTAGAGCCCTGCTGGACAACCTGCGGTCCT